CTATTTTTGAATTTGGAGCTCAACGTTCGACTAACACTGATTCCAAGTCGTACCCAGTCTTCGTTCACCTTAACCAGCGGTCGGTGAGCGCACGACCCTGGAAAGTTTTGTTCCGAAGTCCGAAAATATCGGACTTCCGGTTGAATTGCGTATGCCTACCTGACAAACACGTGGCTAAATCAAGTCGCCAGTATTCACTTCCGGTCATTTTTATTGTTTTTAAAATAAACCAATCAAACTCGAGCCTGTAACGGAACCCTCGGGAGTTTTGACAGGTTTGCGAAATTTCCGTACTACTACTACTTATTTATTTCCTTCATTGTTTGTATACATGTGAGTGAATTATATTCAATATTTGTTCTGTATTATCAAACCTTAATTAAGAATTTAACATTTAGGTCGACAGTCTAGTTAAACCAATCTTCTGCCTTTTGTAAGCTAGTTAAACTTTTTAGAGTTATGTTGGATGACAAGCTACTGAATGTATTTACAATTTATATAACATATTTATTCTTGTAAAAAAATCAGTACAAAAATAAACGTTGTCTTGTCTTGACGCTGAATACGGGTAGTTCCTTTTTAAGTTTGTTCTTCTTAATCCAATCATTTGAACAGTGATATATCATATGAGAATTTCAATCTATTTTAAGCCATCCTTTATCAAATATCTTTTTCGAATGTTAAAGAGAAATTCCCCATTTAGCCTCTGCTATTACGTAAGTCAAATGTAAATTTACTTTTCAGTTGGGGATGTTCATGGCTTCGCCTCCATCAGCCACAACCTGTAAAACCCCGTAAAACAAAGACTTTTCCAACCGAATATATAAAATTTTATTTGGAAATTTTGACTCGTGTATCCATTGACACATTTTACAAAAATTAAATTCAAGTTGATATGTTAATCTATACAGTAAATTTTCAATTCGCATACAAAAATAGACTCAGTCACAATCGAGAATGCCAGAATCTCGAGAGGGGAATGGTAAAGACTACATAAACGATGCGCGCGGCGAGAGGCCTGAGTCAAAGAAAGCTCACCTAGTCTGGTGACTAGTCTGTACCAGGCTCTCGGTCAGTGAACGCGACGAAATTAAAGAGCGAGAGCTTGGAACGTGCTACAGAGTGACAAAAGCAATAAAATGCTTGACAAAATAAAATAAAACCCTCCCTCTATATAATGGCAGTTCCCGATTATGATTTTTATACTTGAAAGTTCAAGAAGAATTTAATTATCTTCCGAAACTAGTATTAACAGTAACTAGAACTATTTTAGTCGAGGGAACAAGTTCTATCTTCAGCGACTCAATTTCCGATTCCGACCGAACCGGGTCGAGCACTCACGAGTATACGTCAGACAACTCCGACCACAAGGAACAAAAATCGCGGGCTCATTTAAGACTTTTACCATCGACTGGTACCCGTTCCCCCGACTGACTCGACCACCCTAAGGTGGGCTGGGGCGCACAGCACATCACGTGACGCGACACAGTCGCTACCTGATTGGTTTATGAAAACCACGTGGTTTATTATCTCATGAGGGTGAGACACATTCTGTAAAACGTTGAGCGCTCTCCTTTGTAGACTTAAGAGGAAAAAATTAAAAGAGTTGAAAGCTGGTCGCAAAAGAAGGAATTAAAAGTAATAATTCATTCATCACGCACCATTCAGAAGTAAAGAGAAATCGTTGTTCAAATTTTGGCCGTCGACGGCTCGTAATTTTTTACATAATCTTTCAGTCGATAATTATACATTACCCCCGTATCATAACACAACATTTATCACGGAAAACCAACGTCAAAGACAGTTTCAACCTAGATGAATCTCTAAAGGAGCTCAGTCACGGTTTGCGCATATTGAAACGTTTAGCCTCAATTTTTCAAATTCGTCGTTTGTAATCCGTGTTAATCTTCTCCATCCTTAGGCATCCTTGTTCCTTTATGGTTTATCATTATGTCTTTGGTGTTTTTCTATCTTATTAAACTGCTATTTTCAGGTTTCCTACCATTTAAAGGTAATTTTAATGTGGTCAAAATAACTCAAAATACCGTGACTGAGTTCCTTTAAAATTGCAATTCTTCAGCAAAGCGAACAGGCATGATGCTCGAGGCTCACACTAAAATATGAAAAATAAAAAAAATACAAAACTTTTGAATTTTAAATTGTAAAATAATAATGCCCATAGTAAAAAACAAATGTACCTTCTCCATAGCTGTCACGAAGTTAGCTAATTACATTTAAAAACATAAAATACCGACTATGACTCACTGCGACAGATGTCGTCTTGACCTTCTAAGACAGTTGTTAACTTGCCTAAACGTAACAACGCATTCAGTAATAAATAAGACTTCAAATGAATTCCTAGAGACAAGGGGATTATTCGGAATCGGAACAATCCACGACGTGACATCTCTCATGTGATTTGAATTCTTCTCTCGCCCGTGATCCTTGTACTCTCTTGGCAAATCCAAGATAAACTGAAATCACAAGAACAGAAAGACGAGATCAAAGTCGATAGAATACTCCACCACTGAGATGATCAGCAGGTTTTTTTGAGACACGAACCTACTAGATCAGAAGAAACAAACGGTAATGGTATGATTTTCTACACCGAACTGCATTCGATATCAAGGATGCAAAGAAATAACGATCACGTAATTGAACATTGACTCTAAAATAGGTGTCACCCAGCTTAAATTAGAAAAAAAAACAGTGTAGAAAAACACCTGTTTAACACGCAAAGCCCCCGTCCACACTCCACCGGAGAAATTTGGAAACCCAACAATCACCGGCCATTTTGGTTTGTGTTTGAGGAAAACTCGGGCAGGGAAATCACGTGATTATCGTGACGTCCTCGTTTTCGAAAAGCGCCGTTTTCAAAATGTGTTTCGCTCCACACTAAAAGGCAAAGCCGGCGTTTTCAAATTCCTCCAGTTTGAAGAACGTTTTCGAAAACCTCCGTTTTCTTTTCGGATTAGTGTGGACGGTAGGCCTAACCGTAGAAATAAGGCTGCGTTTTCAAATTTCTTCGGCGTAATGTGGACGGAAGACAAAGAAAGACGGCAACAGAAAGGTCAAAAGAAAATTAATATTAGGCCACAAGTCCATATTTACAAGTTACCAGTAGTCTGGAAGCCTGCGGCTTAAAATCTCGCCATTTTGCTCTTTAAAAAGTGTAACTTTTGTCGTCCAGGTATTTAATTTTGCGCTTTCTTCGACGATTAAAGACTTTGGTGATTTCGAGTGAAACTTGTGAGCAAGTTTTAAAACTAGCGAGTATTCAAAGCAGCAGTGGGTTTTAAAATTGTTATATTGGCTAAAAGCCGAAAATAGCAAGCGCAAGTTATTTTAAATTCGTTTGCCTATCACGAAAAGACCTTTGTATCCTCCTTATCACAGATAGTATAAATCCACCTGCGTTCTATCACCATTCTCGTTCTCTTATTGGCTACGTTACTCACTACCTATTGTTTTAGTATAAATCTACTAGCGTTCTATCACGAATGTCCTTCTCTGATTGGCTACGCTACTCACTTTCTATTAAACAATTAGATTACGAGCTCGAGATTTCTATTGCGTGATACTTGACGAGGGCGCAGCCCGATTCAACTATCGCGCGATAGAAATCGAGAGCGAATAACCTAATTGTTTTAGTATAAATCTATTAGTCGTTCAAAATTTAAACTAAATCCTCTTCACAGACACTTCGAAAACGCCAAGAAGCGGCCTTCATTTTGTCAACAAGGGCACACTGCTACGCTACTCATTATCTATCACAGAATAGATAGTGAGTAGCATAGCCAATTAGAGAACGGCATTCATGAAAGAAAGCTAGCAGATTTCTTTAGATTTAAAGCTCACCTGGTTAACTAAAATAAGTGAAATCTCCTCGGTTAAAAATCTTTAAACGGCTCCAATAATTTCCCAGAGAGGGGCGGCGCTGCTCTCCAGTTCTCTTCTGGATAGTCATCAAAATTCCTCGTGTCGCCCGGGTGCGCGAGCTTTGGAACAATTGGCGCCTAGATAAACCAAAGTATTCATTACTTGTTATAGTTTAATTATCACTCGCGGTTAAAAGTTTTCACTAGGATGTGTCAACGCAAGTCAAATTGTGACGAATTCTGAGCGCTTGACATGATACCGACATCGGAGAATAGACACCAGACAGAGCGCGCGATTCTCGTCAAAGCCATTGCTTAGCAACAGCATGTTCTTATAATGTCATGCTCAAGTGACAAATGTAGGAGACATCGCAAAAGTTTAAATTATTTCCGATTTGAAAACAAGGATAGAGCACTTAACTACACGATTAATATCCCAGGTCCGCAGTGCGTGCAGAGGGCTAGCTCATATTGCAAACTCCTCAGAAGCTAGTTTCATATTTTGCGGGATAAGAACAAGAGGACCACCTTACAAATAAACGTAAACTTTAATCACACAAGTGGAAGGAGAAGGGAAAAAATCCTCAATCGTATGCTTAGCTCTCAAGCAGCTTGAGAATTACCACTGTTATTTCATTACTAAGAAACTTACTTCATTGCGATTGGCTCGGAGCAGGCCAATTTATCGTTAACTTTTAATTTTTGTACTGCAGTACAAATTAGTGTGCACGCTTTCATAATTTTCCCAGTCAATTAATAAATGAGTAATCATATCGAAACTCTAAGGACTTTAACACTTCTCATGACATTTGAAAGCGCAAATCCTTAATTGGACTCGCATCCATACGATTATCTACCTATACTACTTTGTAACATACAAGAGTCTTGAACAGTAACAAACATGTTTTATGCTCATAGAAAAAGAATACTTCTACACTTGCACTTGTTTAGTTTTTCCTATGTGTATTGTGTTTGTAAATTAATAATAATAATAATAATAATAATAATAATAATAATAACAATAACAATAATAATAATAATGACCATGAGCCGCAAACAGTTACAGAAAACGAGGATGTCACGATATTATGGGACATGCCAATACACACAGACAGGAAAATAACAGCCAACAGACCCG